AAAATTTGGCCCTTTTGTTAACATTTTACATTATCAAGGCTCTTTTTCTATCAAGCACTTAGAATGGTCCTTTCGGCAGCTATTATTTACTGTTACTTATTTATTTCTTAAGGGATCAACTTCATATTTCAAATATATGTTCCTTATCATTAACCAAATGTTATGTGACAAGGTTGTTAACGCTAGCACTAATATTGCAAGAATTACCTCCCCATGAACTTAGAATTTTTTTACTTGAAAAATATTATTTTTTACTATGACTACTTTAGTTTCAAAGGCATCTATCTCTTACCTAAATACATATTCCTTATCATCAATTACATCTTATGTGACTAGGTTCATAACTCTTAAAGCAATATTTTCAGGTTAATATCCCTTTGAACTTAAGATTTTTTTAAAAGAAATATTATAATTAATTTAATTTACTTTTTTATATTTCTTATCATTACACATATGTTGTGCGACAAGCATGACTATTTCAAGAATTACCCCCCACCTTGAACTTATTTATGGAATATATGTAAACAAATGTTCATAGTTTTGTCTTCCATACTAACTTATCTCAGCCTCTTGATATTTGGTATACAGTATTGACGTGGTCCCATACCGTCAGATTTGATTTCAGGTCGGTCGCTCACCACGCCCTGTTTACCGTTAAATTTTCAACATTAATGGTCAATGGTAGGAAATTTTTGTAACAGTTGTTTTAGCAACTACTTATCACAGGCTCTTGATATTTGACAAACAGCATTGACACATGGTCTCATACTGTGGGATTCGATTTCAAGTCTTTCACTCATACACTTCCTGTTAACTGACTTAGTTAAATTTTCCACATTAATGGTCAGTGGTAAATTTTTTCAAAACATTACAGCATCATGATATTTGGTATAGAAATGCAACCTGGCCTTTTCTGTCTTTGACCCATTTTTTTAAAAATTTTGAAATCATTGATTTATTATATGCCCGAAAGGGCATATTATGTTATACCCCCTGGCGTCCGTCTGTCTGTCCGTCCGTCCGTACCTTCGTCCGTCCGTTAGCAATTTGGTTTCCAGAGCATAACTTAAGTTCCATTTGGCCCACAATGTTAAAACTTCATAGGATGATTGTCCATATTGGGTAGAAGACCCCTATAGATTTTGGGGTCAAAAGGTCAAAGGTCAAAATCACTATTACCTTAAAACTGAAAACCGTTTCCGGAGCATAACTTAAGTTCCATTCGACCCACAATGTTCAAACTTCATAGGATGATTGTCCATATTGGGAAGAAGACCCCTATTGATTTTGGGGTCACAAGGTCAAGGTCACTATGACCTTGATACTGAAAACAGTTTCCGGAGCATAACTTAAGTTCCATTTGGCCCACAATGTTCAAACTTCATAGGATGATTGTCCATATTGGGTAGAAGACCCCTATTGATTTTGGGGTCAAAAGGTCAAAGGTCAAGGTCACTATTACCTTATAACTGAAAACAGTTTCCAGACCCCTATTGATTTTGGGGTCACAAGGTCAAAGGTGAAGGTCACTATTACATTGATACTGAAAAATATGTTTCCGCGCATAACTTAAGTTCCATTTGACCCAAAATGTTCAAACTTCATAGGATGATTGTCCATATTGGGTAGAAGACCCCTATTGATTTTGGGGTCAAAAGGTCAAAGGTGAAGGTCACTATTACCTTGATACTGAAAACAGTTGCCGGAGCATATGTTAAGTTCCATTTGGCCCACAATGTTCAAACTTCATAGGATGATTGTCCATATTGGGTAGAAGACCCCTATTGATTTTGGGGTCAAAAGGTCAACGGTTAAGGTCATCCTTACTAAAAAAAAATACTTTCGGGCATATAATGCTCCGCCTAGCGGTGCGCTTGTTATTGTTGAAATCTACTTATAATACCTTTAAAATACCATGTTCCCAGTACTTTTTATTTACATGCTTAAGTTGTTCTTAACATATGCAAAGCAAACTTGTACATTCCTTTATTAGAAATTGTTTTTTTTTATATAACCAGGCACAAGTGACATAATAATATTTATTTATATGCTATGATCATTGTGGACACAAACTGTAAACAAAGGTATCATTTTTGATTCTAGTCAAAGTAAATTATGATTTATGAAAAAATTTTTAACAAATGACTTAAAATTGAGCAATCACCATACTTTCTAGCATAAGAATCTTAAAATAAAATTACTTAAATTGCAAGCAAGTTGCAATTTTATACATGAGATAAACTTATTGTGACCAAATTTGTTTTAATCCCCCGCCGAAAATTTTCGGCGGAGGATATAGAAATAGTCTCCGTCCGTCCGTCCAACCTTCCGTCCGTCCGTCCTTCCGTCCGACATTTTTGTCCGGAGCATATCTCTAAAAGTATTTAAGTTATCAACTTGAAACTTCATAGGTGGATAGACCTCATTGAGGAGGAGTGCAGTGCACAAGAATGATAACTCTACCTTGCATGATTTTTGAGTTATTGCCCTTTGTTATTTTTCAAAATTAATTTTTGTCCAGAGCATAACTCCAAAAGCCTATGAGATATTAACATGAAACTTCATAGGTGCATAGATCTCACTCAGGAGGTGTGCAGTGCACATGAATGATAACTCTACCTTTCATAATTTTTGAGTTATTGCCCTTTGTTATTTTTCATACCTAATTTTTCACCTGAGTGGAGCATAACTCAAAAAGTGTTCGAGATATCAACATGAAATGTCATAGAGGATAGATCTTATTGAGGAAGAATGTTATATGTGGATAGACCTCATTGAGGGGGAGTGTAATGCACAAAAATGATAACTCTACCTTGCATGATTTTTGAGTTATTGCCCTTTGTTATTTTTCAAAATTGATTTTTGTCCAGAGCATAACTCCAAAAGCCTATGAGATATTAACATGAAACTTCATCGGTGCATAGATATCACTCAAGAGGTGTGCAGTGCACATGAATGATAACTCTACCTTTCATGATTTTGAGTTATTGCCCTTTGTTATTTTTCATACCTAATTTTTCACCTGAGTGGAGCATAACTCAAAAAGTGTTTGAAATATCAACATGAAATGTCATAGGTGGATAGATCTTATTGAGGAGGAATGTTGTGCGCAAGAATGATAACTCTTCCCTATACAATTTTTGAGTTATTGCCCTTTGTTTTTTTTCATGCTATTTTGTCCAGAGCTTATCTCAAAAAGTATTTGAGGTATCAACTTGAAACTTCAAAGGTGGATGGATCTCATTGAGGAGGAGTGCAGTGCTTAAGAATGATAACTCTACCCTGCATAATTTTTCAGTTATTGCCCTTTGTTATTTTTCAAAATGAATTTTTGTCCAGAGCATAACTCAAAAAGCCTTTGAGATATCAAAATGAAACTTCATAGGTGCATAGATCTCACTCAGGAGGTGTGCACTGCACAATAATTATAACTCTACCTTTTATAATTTTTGAGTTATTGCCTTTGTTATTTTTCATACTTAATTTTTCAATTTAATTTTTTTCTCAAAAAGTATTTGAGGTATCAACTTGAAACTTCATAGGTGGATAGATTTTACTGAGGAGGGATGCAGCACACAAGAATGATAACCTACCCTGCATTATTTTTCAGTTATTGCCCTTTGTTATTTTCAGCCATCAGTATTCACATAGGTTTCAAATCTGTAATCACTATAGCCATCAGTTTTCATTACCAAAAGACCTCTTAAAATAGAATTATTCTGTTCTACTACATATACATTCTCCAATGAGCAAACACATTAGGCGGGGGATGGCCATGTTGACATGGCTCTTGTTCATATTAGCAAGTTCTGTATATATGCTTTAATTAGAAAAGAACACTGATTATGTATGAAGTAACAGAAATATTGAAAGCTTTATAATAGAATGTTTATCATGCAACATTAAATTGTGTAAGATTCAGACTGTTAGATAAGGCGATGTACTTATTAATGCTGTTATAATTACATGTATTATTATTGTGAGTAAAAAGGTTCTGGGGATATTTCTATCATGTTTTAACCAGGGGCATAGATAATATACATTGTTTACTTTTTTATCAATATTGCAATTGGTTTTAAATCTGTGTTTTCTTAAATATGGATATTATTGAATCATCCTTGACATCAGTATTCTCATTTTTTAGCTCACATTAGCAAAAGCTCAGCTATTACAGACAGTCAAAGATTCCTGGTCTGTCAGTCATCCATATTTCAATAAAGTCATATTAGTTTGAAAACGTCAAAAATTCTCATTTACTGTGTGCAAGAATGCTTTAAATTAATTTGGTCTTTTGCATGATAAGGTCACAGTAGGTAAAAAAAGATTAGATATTAAAACCATCCTTTTCTCTTATTATCCCATTTTGCTTGTTTTGCATTATTAAAGCCATTTCCTCATGCTCCCATTTCATATGTAATGTTTCTTTGCAAAAAAGTAAATAACAGACTTTTAAAATTTATTTTTGACTGTTACAGGCTATTTAAAAATATAATATGCAAACTATTAAAAGTACTTTTTTGTATTTTTTTATTCTCTATTTTCTTCTTAAATTTCATGAAATTAACATGTTCCAAGTTTCACTTTTCATCATGTAAAAACTGAAATGCTTTAGCTAGGTAATCTGTCTGTCATTACATTTGAAGCTTATGTAGCAATATAGTATTCTAGGTATTGTTACTGTATATATATTCATTATAACATAATTCTCTTATCATGTTAAGGATCTAGTCATGAATGAACTGCATGCATTCATATGTTTGGATGTATATTTTATTGTACCACTAAGATAATGTAATAAAGTTGTTCTCATTTAGTTTATTCTTACTTCCATCCCTCTTTCAATATATTATTCAACAACCAGTGTTAATGTCTCTATCAGATTAATAATCTGTAATTCAGTGGCCCATATTCCTTTATTCTTTACAATTGCAACGTTTTTAGTAAGACACATATGCATTTATAATGCGCAGCGAATACATCAGTGCTTTCAGCGCTTTGATTATTTTCTGCCACTTTCAATTCCAAAACAAGCAAGAACAGCGCGATATGCGCTGGTGAAAAATCCTTTCTTTATTTTCTTCTTGTCTGCCAACATTTCTTATATCTTCTTTCATTAACTTTTCACTGATTTGCCGAGTGCAAGTAGCTTGTGACTTTGGGCAGATATCTGTAATGTTCTTGTCTAGGTTGTCATGTTGTGTAGATTTCATAATTTGGCTGTTTGGTGTCTGCTGTTTCGCGGGGTGGCACTGGATGTCGTCTGCTTGACGATCGTCCCTGTTCAACATAAAAAATATAATTAAAAAATTGTTACAAACATGCAATGTAAGTGAATTTCCATCCTAAATTATGACATGCTTTATATTAAAGACTACTCTTTTTGCATTATTTATTTGTAAAATGTCTCTGTTTAAAACACGACAGCATTGATTTAAATATTCAGATAGAAAATAATTTTTGTTGATCAATTATTAAAAGTACAAATATATAAACAGACTGTATCCCTTGCAAAACTTGATACCTTTTAAAATTTGATTCCTGCGGAGAAAACCCTTTTTCTGACACTTTTGTATTCTGCCGTTTAGAGACGGGTTCTTTGGGAAATTCTCTTAAACTGTTTGTATGTTGCACACAGTCATAGTTATCTTCGAGGTACATCTTTAACTCTGTAAGAAAAAAAAAACAGAAAAATAATAAAAGGCCCTTTAAAGCATAATGTAACATAGCTTTTTTACTTATCCCGCAAGTGATGATATCTAATATATAAATACACGGCTAACCACTTTTATCAGTTCACCAAAATGTTATATTGTGCGGAACAGTTCAAGTTCAATACCAAAACATCAACAGTCGTCGGTGCTTTATTATTATTATTATTATTATTATTATTATTATTATTATTATTATTATTATTATTATTTTAAACATTTTTGTAAAGTCTTAAAAATGTAGTATTCAGATTAATGGTTTCAAATTGATTTACCATAAGCAGACTGGTTTCTTATTTCAGCTCTAGAACTATTATGTCCTACTAAGCGTCTTTTGCGTTGTCCAGCTTGACCATGTCTTTGTGGCATTGACCTCCTCTGACCTTGTGGTGGTAAAGCGCTCTTACTTCGCCTTTTCTTTTGTGTGGTCTTATCATCAGCTGATAATATAAAGAAAAAGAAGTGTAATTAAACAACTTGTGATGGTGCAATGTTTCAAACGGAACACCTCTGTGATTAAATGAAGTTTGATAAAAACGGCCGGAAAGTTTCGACTGACTTTGTTCTCTCCACATTACATTATAATTGGAAAGTAACTGAAGACATGATTACTACTTTAGCCGACATGTCTTTGTTACAACTAACATTCCGTAAGCTGTATTGGTATATAAGATCGTCGTGTAAAGGATTTCATGACAAAAAATGGGTTTATTAACATTGAAATCAACTGAAAACAGTCAGAAAAGTTTAAAAAACTAGCTAGTATTCAAAGTTACAGATATCACTGTCCATGATTAATTCATGATTCAAATGGACTTAAATACCCGTTATAAGATTATAATAAATCTTATATAATATAATAAAATAATTAATAAGAATTCTTAAAAATTTTACCTTTTCTGCGATTTGACAATTTTCTTTGCGAGTCTTGCCGTCTATGTGTGCCACATATCGACTTTGCCCTTTTTGATGAACGAACTTTGTCCATTCTTGAATGAGCTTTGTAGTCGTTTCTTGTTAATCTATTCATAATTCAATGTAACAAGTTTTTCATACATTAGTGTGCTCACAAAAATTAAAAAACAAAACAAACAAAAACACTAATTTATTCAAGATTTTCGATCATCTTTGTTCAGAAATTAAATCAATTCACACAATTTGAGAGTGACAGGATACTTTGTTGTTACCATGTCTCTTTCTAAATCTATAAAGAGATAGTAGGTCCAAGTTATACTGAAGTCATAACCGTTCTGCGAGAAAGCGGAATTGAAAATGGATGGAAATTGTTGTGTTTAAGCTTTTGTCGAAAACGAGCTAAAGTAAATAAATAAATAAATAAATAAAATGATCATTTAAACTTAATTAAGTTTTGTAATATTTTGAATCTCTTTACTGACCATAACTTTCTGTAAAACGTCTTAAGAAAGAAATTCTTATTGATAATAAAAAACGCATCTACATACCGTTACGTGTTGATATCTAATGTTGCGGAACGTCGTTTCTATGACAAGTTACGTCAGCAAATTAGATTATTATTATTACGTCATCACAACGTTACTGACGTGATAAAAGTATAACATAATGGGTATAGCATGCATCTTTTATTTCTAAATCGTTAAATTTTATTTCATTTAACATTAGAACATATTGTACAAGTCTTAACGATAAACATGGCATAACATGAATAGCACAGTGTTCCGATAGGGCCAGCGTGTTTTCTCTGAAAACGGAAAGCGCGAAACATGACAGTACGATGGTGACAGTACGACAGTGACAGAACGACAATACGATGGTGACAGTGCGACAGTATGATGGTGACAGTACGACAATACGATGATGACAGTACGACAGTATGATGGTGACAATATGACAGTACAATGGAGAAACACGACAGTACGATGGTGACAGTGCGACAGTACGATGATGACAGTAGGACAGTACGATGGTGACAGAACGACAATACGATAGTGTCAGTACGACAGAATGATGGTGACAATATGGCAGTATGATAGAGAAACACGACAGCTAACATTGGTGACAGTCCGACAGTACGATGGTGACAGTGCGACAGTACGACAATACGATGGTGACAGTACGACAGTATGATGGTGACAACACGACAGTATGATGGAGAAACACGACAGTACGATGATGACAGTCAATCGTACTGTCGTACTGTCTCATCATCGTACTGTCACCATCGTACTGTTGTATTGTCACCATCGTACTGTCGCCTTCCTGTCGAGCATTCGCAAATATTTCACTCAACATGACTAGTTGACATAATATGACACATTTCAGGCAAGCCAAAAGGACATTTTGATAAGATAACACTACTGTTTGAAATAATTAAACAATGTTAACACAAGTCAACATCACACTTTAAAGCGATAAGACTACTGTTACGCATAATAAGGCAATGTTTAGACAAGTCGACAAATTACAATGACGTTACAACGCTTATATTTGACATAATAAGACGCTTTCTGTGCAAGATGAAAAGAAATGTAATAACAAGAGGCAGCTATGGCGTTCCATAGAATATTGTAGTCATCATTGATTAACTAAGGCTTCGTCAGTTGTTTTTTTTAATCGGAGTTTTTTCTCAAGACTAATGTTGTTTTTGTGACTGTCCAACATCTGTCCAATGTTTTGCCGGCTGGTCCCCTCTCTCATTTCCAACAACTTCACAGTGGGCAGGAAACCGTTGTGTGTTGGTCTTAACTTGTTAGTCGTGTTCACAACTTTCTCATTTCACTTTATGTAGATCACTTTCATGACTGTTAACATGGAAACTCTTAAGCCGAAATTTTATCAAAGATTACCAAAATGATTTGCTATTAAACATTCCATCCTGGTGATACTTTGATTAAGATTTCAGTTTCACATGCAAGTTACAGCGTGATAAATATACCAAAACCCGCCTCTCATCGCACATTGACGTACAGAGTGTAAAACAGTTGAAGATCTGATAACTTTATATTAGTATACCGATTGAATGAGTTAAATATAATCGCAAATTTATGAATAGAGCTATAATTACTGCTCTGTGGGTTTTATCGCCTTACGTTACAGTCAAATAATTTAAATATCTGATTATGAAATGACCTACTTGAGCATAATGTACATATAATGTTACAATTTTGATTAGATATAAAATTAATATTTATATATTTAGCTAGTAACCCAATCAGTAGACAATTAAACATTGATATACATTTATATCCGGATATATCATGGGTTATATATTTAAATATGCTTGCAGGTTAGGATATTTCGTTACTGTTTGTTCTCTTTTTTAATTTTATTTGTATGAAGTAATTATTTTTACGTGTAAAGTAGTGCTATATAAAAAAAGAAATGTAAGATTAAGGATGACATTTTTAAAGATTTAAAATACATGATGCCCTCTTAAGTGAGTATTGATCATAAACGTACTTTGTGTTCATCCATGCTATTCTACAGAAATTAGAAACTTCGACTGGAGGGATAGCGATAGTACGTTACTGCCAGTGTGTTTCTTGCATTAAGGTTTTGTATTAATGAAACCAAATAAAGCTTGACACTAATATTATGTTAGTATTCATCCGTAGCTATTTTACAGAAATTAGAAACATTCTACAAAAGTTATCACAAGAATTCTAGGACATCTTCAGAGTTATCACAAGAATTCTATGACATTTGAAAAATCGGGCATAAATTTGTAGCCGGGGTTTATGATTGTAATTTTGCATACTATTGTGTAATTATGAATGGCAAGGATGAAGATCACAAATGGACAAGTCAATACGTGCGAATTGGCAAATAATTTGGAAATTTTACTCAAGACTACCACAGATTTTAAACTAGAGGCGATGAAAAATGGCCTATGAATTAGTTGACACATAATACAAGATGTAAGGCAAGCTTAATCATTAAAGTTTAATTTAGCACCTAAAACTCACTTTTTAAAGATGAAAATTACCATCTTTGACGTGTGTTTTCGTAGACGAACTCCGTGACAGTTATCACAAGAACTCCGTGACAGTTATCACAAGAACTCCTGACAAGTTATCATAAGAACTCAATCCTTCGTGTAACAGTTCCTTCCTCGTGTTTGTTGGATACAAAGGTGTGTTCACACCAACTTTAATATATTATTTCTTTACAAAAGAAGTGATAGGTTATCAACCAAACTGTTATACCCTGAAGCTGTTATATCAATATATGTGCTTCTATTTTGGAGATGTGCTCCATACACACGAATTTGATATATTGTACAACAGGGTTCATTTAATAACATTTCTTGCAAAAGGATAGCTTAATTTTAAACGAAACATTAAAATGTCGTGGAAATCCGGACCTATTTCCGTTAAAACCAAAATGCATTCATTTTCTGGAAATGCCAAAACAACATATCTAACCTTCCAACTCACAGACTGAATATGCAAATGTTATATAATTATGTGAAATGCTAAATATGGTATTATAACGATTAATTATATACTATTCGTGCAAAATCCGACCTTCAACAAATTGAGATTGTAAAAGAAATACAGATATTACTAGTTTGTTTTTCTGATATTTGTTTGAATTTATTTCATTATGCCTACATAAACTGTAAAAATAATTTTGTATGTAAAGAGTTAATTGCAAAATTGTGCCATATATTGATAAACTGTCCAAATACCTGCATATGTATAAAAAATAAAGGAATATAGTTGACAGATTGAATGACATCTTTGATTGTAACAGTATGTAATTGAATGTAATCATTATGTAATCACGATTACTTTTGCCAAAGTAATCGAAAGTATTCCATTACACAGCTCTATCAGTGAAGTCGGTTATTTAATCAATTACATAAAATTTATACATGTAATTAATCAATAATCGATTTTTCATGCAGCTGTAATCGATCACCATTATATATTTGTTAACTCGGCAGTTGACAAAATTCCGCTTACAAATTTA